CTATCTATCTATCTATCTATCTATCTATCTATCTAATCTATCTATATACATGTAGAGTTTTGCCTGTAGTAGTTGCCAAATTGAAATGTTTACTTTCTCTTTCTTTAAAATAATAAATAGAAGTCTAAGTATATCACTGTTAGGAACAAGTTGTACTGTAAACAAGAGCTTGCTAAAGGTTCCGAGGCCCACACTGAGTGTTTAATAACTGGCACGGGCGGGGGGATGCACACGTTACCTTGGCTGTGTGCATAATACAAAGGGCTTCTGGCACACTTGCAACAATGTGCGTCAAACTTTTTTGCCGCTTACAATTTTAAAACGTGTGACAGGCTCAGACAATGCTCTTGTGACAAGAGACCAAAGCTGCACCTTCTAAACTGCATGCTGTCTAACCCCGTTCAGCTCCCTCAAACATCATCCGCACATAGAAACATGGTAGAGACAGCATTATGCTGTGCACCTGAATCATTTCGCTATAGATACATACTCGGTCTTAGAGTTACTAAAATTAGTGTCAAGCAAGGAGATTCACTTTTCAAACAAACTACATACCTTGAGCCAGAGAGAAGGTTTAAAACAAACTATACAGACGAGTTAGAACGGTCAGTCATTGTCCAAATGTGACGTCTCCTGGAGAATCTGTTGCAGGACTTTCATTGCTCACATATACTTTCCCCAAAAGATTAATTTATTGCTCTAGATTTTATTTAAGGGGATCGGAATATCATTTTTTCCCACTTTATAGTCACTAATGCTCTAGTCTGTGTTGGTCTACCATGTGTTAGGACTGCTGCAGTGAGGCAGTGCAGACTCAACATTCACACAGTCAGCTTTCCCAGATTCGCTCTGTTCTCATTACTCCTATATTCCCAGCAATAGAGGATGAACTGTGCTCTCTGTCACATTACTCCAACTAAAAGTTAAACTGCTTGTTTTAATAAGACCAACATAAACATCGGACACCGGATTAATGTATGGGAACCACATATTGTAAGATCACAACTGTTAAGTGTGTCAGCTTTGAGACTGAATAAAATTCACACATGCAGCAATATGATGCGTTAGTTTAAAGTACCACAGGTTTTTGAAGCTAACTGAGCTACAGCAGCTTTGGGTACAGAAAGCTGGCTTAAATTTCTTGATACATGCTTTGTTTACCTCCGTTTCTTTGCCTGGTTTAACTCAACCGCTCCATTCTGTGTGGCAAAGATATTTCCTCTTATGCTTGCCTAAAATGTGTGTCCTTCCACACAGCTGCATGTCATATATAGGGTACGTTCCTGTGCTATTTTCTTTCTCAGGCGGTGGCGTCATGAGGAGGCATCAGAGAGGGGTCATCACCAGCCTCTGACTTAAAGAAAAACAAATCTCCTGCAGTACCCAGCCAAAGAGCCAGATTTAGAAATAGCTGTTATAGTTATAAGTAAGGTCGCTGCTCTGATCTGTGCTTGTTTTCTCAAGTTTATGCCCTCCTATGAATTTTTTCTGGTTTATTCATGTCCAGCAGACAGGAGTGTCCAGAAGCAGGGGTCAAGCGAGACATTTAGGGTCACATTTAAGCTCAGGTTGCAAGGAGGAAGGATGACATGTGATGGTCGTTCATGCTTCGCCTGACCGCGATGACAGCAGTGATGAAGGTGACGCATCACAATAAGGCCGTTTGTTACCAAAATCTGTTGCAACCTAACAGTTGCACAACAGGATATTAGTTTTAAAGAAATGAAAACCAGCAAACCTATGGTGCAAAACAGTTTTAAAACGTTTAAAACGAGAAATCAAACTGAAAATTAGAATAACTTCTAATTATTAAACGATTAGGTTTTGAATTGGTGAGGAGAATAATAATAATTCTTCAGATTTTTTTAATTATTGAAAAATTTATTTTTTGCAAACCATGTACCTATTTGATTATTTCATCTTATCCTCTTATAACATTCATAAGTTGATCAAAAACCAGATCTGTGACCAAATCTTTCCACATTACTCAGATTCTTGGGTCGGGTCTTATCTTGTCAGCTGACTGGTTTCTATCAGGTTAAGGTCCGTTAGGATAAGGTTGAGTTTGTCTGCTAAATGCTTCTTTTAAGGCATTTGTCCTGTTATATGTACCTGTGTGTGTGAAAGCTTGTTTTTATTCTGACATGCAATTGTTTTTATTACCATGTAAAGCACTTTGTTTTCTCCATGGCATGAAAAGTGCTTCATAAATAAAGTTTTATGTAATTCTTTGGTAATTAAACTTACTGTTTGTTTATAGCGAGGAGAAAAAATGATTCAATATCAGTTTTTCTAATTGAGTCTGCCCACTTTCTATTTTTGAATTTTGGGGATTTCTAAATGGGTTATGAATCCTGCTCTCTAAAGGGATGTAAAAAAAACGGTTCACAGCCTCACAGACCTCTTGTGTACATCACAGTAAAAAAACAAAGTGTGTGCTTTATTTTTTTATTTATTTTATTTTATTTTTTAACAGGTTCATATTTGCCTGTGGTTTCGATTGTCAAAAAAACCCTATCTGACCAAACCCTATGTTTATACCTGTGATGGTGGAGGGCATCACATGGCTTATTTGCACGGATATTGTGTCAAATTGTTGTTATGGAGATGTCGGGACCTCAATTTAAAGGTATACTGGAGGATGTTCTTTTTCCGGGTGGATCACCAAAATAATAAGTCCTCCTAATTGTCAATCATTTTGGTGATATGTTTACATAAGCCCATCCTACGTGGTAGCCCCCATTTTCACGTACTGGTGATGAGTCTGACGTTGAAGAAAAATTGCAAATCTTCTTTTGGAAAGTAAGCTTGTATGAGTGATGCAAAGAGCAACTTTTAAACAGAGCGTGCACGAGGAGAAATGGGCTCGTGCACGCTCTCATGCATTTAATAAGCGTTCCCTCTCGGAAGCAGGTACAGGGCTGTGCATGTGCTATTTTTTTTCAAGTTGAGAGGGCGAGGCTTTTCAAAAAAATCGAAAAAACTCCTCCACTACACATATAAGGAATTTGAGCTTTAGACAATTTCTTTTACCCCCTTCATTCCTTGTGTCTTACAGCTCCAGCTGTCCATGAAACAGTATCGGTCGATTTAATGTTTGGAGTCATTTCCAGATTTAAGAAAATGAGCTGACTAGAATTTCATGTTTTCTTCTGTCCCAACAAAAAGATCATAAAGAGAAATGCCTTCTGACAAAGATCATCTCGAGCCCCTTAGGGAAACAATAAAATTTATCAACCATATGAAATCGTTTCAGGTAAAGTTTATTACAACCAAACATATTATAAAATGACTGCATCTCTGGTGATGTAAAAAAAATGTAATCAAATTACATTAATTAATTAAAGGTAAGGGTATTGTACTATTTTAAATAAGCATGAAAGGCACTGGAAATTTAAAACATTTCTTTTTTGGGTGGGGAAAAAAAATGAAACCGAGAGAAAGAAGTATGTCTAACAACACAGTGATGGAAACAGAGAAGGAATTAGCTACGCTAAGAAAATGCTTAAACACTAAAAGTGGGGCTGCCCAGCTGGAGTTGTTAGCGCTGTTACCTTGCAGCATTAATGCCTTAGACTCATTCTGCATGGAGAATGCATCTGACCTGAGATTAGATACTCCACCTTCCTCCCACAGTCAAAATACACGACAGCGGAGCTTGGTCAACTAGACCAGTTTAGCCTAAATTCATCAGACTAAAACTATGCAAAGAAAAACATACAGACAAGATCTAAAAACTAACATAGTCCCTCATATGGAGTAAAAGCTTACTTGTTTTTCATATGAGGCAACTGCAATTCACACTGTGCACATAGAGGAAATGAGTGAGGATGTCAAATTGGCCAGAAAAGGAAAAGAAAAAAAAATAAGATGGAGAAAAAAAAAATGAAATCCTAAAATATTCAGCAGTTTAAATCTGTTGAAAAGTTATGAAACATTAAACATTTAATCTGCTCTAAGTTTCCAAAGGCTTACAGTGTGTCGGTAAACTAGGACAATATCTGTTAAAACCCCCTTAAGGATGAGATATTTTTATCATCATATTCAGTTAAACCATGCTAAAAAAGAAAAAGAAAAAATCTCACATTAACCAGCATGGAAGTACAGTACTGGAATAAGACCTTTTAAAAAAAGAGGAAACAGCATTTTCTCTGAATTGTTCAGCTAAATTTGAGCAAACCACATTGGTGTTAAACCTTTCAAAGTCTGCAACTTTAACAGTTTGGAAATGTTAGTTTAAAAGAAAATGTTTACAGGCGTCACATACATGCGTTTTCCTCTAAGCAGAATTTAATTGCTCGCCTGTTGCTTCACAGTGGTAACTTACAGTAGTTACAGTACATGATAAATAGAGGCGCTACAGTAAGCTGTCCTTTATTTGATGTAACAGAATCAAACAACATAATAGAAGAACCAAAAAGTGAAACAGTACTCCAAGTTGTCATCAAGTATCAGTGTACTTTAGGTAATATAAGCCCAAAAAGTGGGAGTATGGAACAAACGCCAGCAGTGTTCAACAGCTTCAGAGCAAAGCATCATCTGACTGCCTGCGCACGACTGCCGTTTTCTTCTTCTTCTTCTCTCTGTGTGGAAGAGTCCCGCCTCTTCTGGTTGCGCTGTGGGGCACCGTCGGAGCGCGGTGCCTCTTCTCGACATTTAGCGCAGCAGCAGCAGAGCGCAGTGCAGAGGCGAGAGCGGATGGGCTGGGTAAACAACACAAACATCACGCAGTTGGCCGCTCCCTGCGACGTGTTGCCGATACCCTGATGGGACACAAATAGGCAGATAGTAAAAAAAGTTTCTTCCTGAGCAGAAACCCCATTTTAACAATCCTACAACAAACAATGACAATGCATTTGGTCAAAACTGTTTACACACTAATACTTCTAATTATTATGTGCTATAATTTTGGCTGATTTTTTAAGCCTCTATTTGACATAGCTGGTAGAGTTGATTTGAAGTTTTGATGTCCTGTCAGATAAGTTAGTTCACAAGATTGAGGTCAAAGCTATTCTAAAAGCTTCATATAAACTTGCTTAATTAAACCCCCCAAAAGTGTAGCCTATCATAAATAAATAAGCTCAGTAGCGGAAAGCTATAATCTGTTCTCTGATTGGATGTTCAATTTCTGAGTGGCATGACGTTGACCTATCAGCTGAAAGAAGGTAGAGAAACCGAATATCAGTTTTTGCACATAGTGTTTTGCTTTGTATTCACTTAAATCCTTTATGAATTAAATCATAGCTTGCTTAATTATTGCGAAAACTTTATTTGCATTCAAAAACAGGTCTTGTTGATCAATGCAGCATCAAATATTTTAGGAGAGGAAAAATCCTAAAGGGGGGTTTCTTTATTTACCAGATATAGGTCATTTTAAGATTCACTATGAATACTGCATGCTTCAGGGCAGCTTGGATGCTCGGGGTTTCTTTCACCACCAGTAGAAGTGGTGCAGAGCACTAATGGAATAAAAAAGAACTTGCAAACGATTCATCCCCACTATGAATGAACCATCAACCCAAAAATCCAGCCTGGATTACATAAATGGCTACAAAAAGAGGAGAAACAGTTCCTTTGCAACTTCCTGAATGAGATCTGACCAAATGTAAGTTGATGTTTGAGCATATATGTATATTGTTTGGTCTTTGCTGAATCAAAGATAATCCAGACTCATTTTTTACTTTGGTTCTTTTAAACAATTCCTCATTTAATCCTAGAAAAAGAGATATCAAATTACAATGACAAAAATAGTTTCATGATGAGTCTTTAGTGAATGTCTTCTGTTGGGTCTAGAATGGGTTCGTACCGGAGACTGATTCAATCCTAAAACCGCTTTACTTTAGAACCGTTTCTTTCTTTAGAAAAGAAAAAAAGTAGGAGGATGGTGTAATGACTCATAGGTTTAATCACATCCTCTTTTACACTCACAAGTTTAACAACACATCAACTAATGATACACATGCTGATGTGTCCTATTACAAAATACAGCAGACAATAAATGAAAATGGATTCCCATGAAGACACTTTACTGCCACTAAAAGCAGCCATTTCCACATTTTAAACTCACGTGAAGAGTGACCAACACAGGGTTCTGTCTGACCGGAGAGTCAGCCAGCAGCAGGATGAAGCGCACCGTGCTCCAAATGCGCAGGATGATGAATATGATGGGGATGAGAGTTAGCTTCACATCTGCCATGGATGAGAAAGACTGCGACGGGGGCCTGTTGGCCAGGATGGGCCGGTACTCCGACAGGGCAGCATGCTGCGTCAAACAGAGGACAGAGATTATTTACAGAAGCAAAGCAAATGAAAGAGGATGTAACGCACCATCCGCAACAATGGATCATTTTTCATGACACAGCGTCAGACAAGTGTGATCTATGATTTTAAAGAGGATTACAGAGTTCATTCAAATTTAGATTAACTGAAAGATGTGTCACACATCTTAAATGAGAGACCACAGCTATTTTTCTTCTTAACATTTTTCCCTCTTCCTCCCTCTGAGGGATGAAGATCCTAATATTCATGTTAAAGAAAAAATAGAATAATTTCAGGTTTATATAATAAACTCTTAGACCAACCATTTGAAAGAGTCATCCTGCTATTACAGAAAAATACCATACATCATATCTGATATAATTGGCCCAAAAACAATTTATTAACAAACCTCATGAATATTCAGAGAGCAAATCTGACAGATTGGTATTTAAAGCCTGACATTGAAGGGACACTACTCAGGCTAGGTCTGTCCATTATTCAGAGACACTTCACCATAGTCACTTAAATCTTACTTTAGACTGGTAAAGGTTTCAAATGACCTATTTGGAAACTGCATTTGGTCAACAATCTTTCTCTTATAAAGTAACAAGCCTTTGGGAAAACTCTTCCAAATGAAATTATTTCATGCACAGTCTATAGTATGTTTACACACCTGACCAAACAGTGATTATCAAAGCAAACATGTATGCATTGAATGGCTGAAATATGAGCGCTGTAAACTGTGAGTGAGTGAGAGTGGAAAGTGCTTTCATGATGAGAATGAAGTGATGTTTACATGTATTATTCTGTATATATTTTATGAATTTCTGTAAGTATAACATCAGCATGTCCAGGGACTGTGGGTGGAAATTTGTATTTTTGCTATAACCTAGCTCATGACATCTCTTCTCTTTTTAGATAAATGTTATTTGTGGCAGAAATTATTTGATCAAATAAAGAGAAATTAAAATAATTTACTGTTAACTATGCAGAATGAGTCTGAAACAGGACAGCAAGGAGTGATGGGCAAACTGATGGCTTAATGGACGGCTGAATAAATGAACTGCTTCATAACCAGATGGAGAAATGAATGGATGAATAGAAAGATGCTAGATTGATGTATGCATGCATGAACACAGACTGTAGATGGACAGGTTGATAGTAGATGTGCAACAATTAACATTTCAATTGCATATGCAAAATAAAAACAGCCTGCATTAGCATCTTTATTTCTAAATTCACAAGACAGTTTAGTTTTATATTAGAAGGTGCTTTTTTATTTCATTTATTTCGTTTACTTTGGGTGTCTGTTGTCTTCTTTTTGCTGTTTATTTATTGTTTACTCTCTTTCTCATCCCATGCAGGCATGGAAGCAGACTTCCAGGAGTTACTGTTTATATTCTGTGTCTCGTTCTCTCTCCCCTTAGTTCTTTTCCCTTCATTCTTTTTCATATCCCTTTCTGTTACCATGACTACTGTATATGATTTTACTCCCTAAATCATTTACAATAAAGTTTCAAATAAAAGTATCAAGTGGAACCTTATGGCAACAACCTCTGCTTGTGAAAGCAAATCTGCTGGGCCATCATCTAGCTCTGGAAAACCAATTCCTAAAATAAATAAAAAAAAGTAAAGGTAGTTTGGTTAAAGTTGTACGTTATGCTTTTTCAGAGTTAGGGGTATAGAAATTCTTGTTGTTTTTTTTTGTTTTTTTTAGCTGTGTGTTTTTGGGTCATTATCCTGTTGCAAGACCTGTGTCTGAGATAAAGCTTCTCTCTAACATCCCTTGAAAGTTTAGATATTTCATTGGATCCTGTGGAAATTCAAGACATCCTGTGCCAAATGAAGCAGAACAGACCTGCAAAATAACAGAGCCTCCTCCATCTTTTACAATAGGGAGTGTGATATTTTAATGATATGCTTTTTTTTTTCTCATAGGACATTTTTTCCAGAAGCTTGGTGGCTTTTAAAATGTAGTTAAGCAATTTCTTGTCTGGCTTTTTATGATTTGTTTTAAAACCTCCTTGGTCATCTCCCCTTAAGCACACTTTGGATCAAACAATAAGAGATGGTACGATTCTGAAACTGATGTTCTTTGAGCTTGAAGTTCACCTTTAATCTCTTTAAAAGTTTTTCTGGGCTATTTTGTTACCCTTTGTATTACCAGTCTCTTTGTCACAATTTTTTCTACTGCAACCTATAGTCCCATGGATCTTATACAGTATTTCTGAAAAATGTGTGCAACTATAGTCCCACAAACATCAAGCTGCTTGGAGATGATGTAAGCGAGAGCATCTCCCCCATTACGTGACATCCCTGCAACAGAGATTTCGTAATATACAGTGAAACTTAAATATTAGTTGTTTTCCAGTGCCAAGGCTGAAAAAAGTCTTAGACATCTCACAGACAACAAAGACTGTTGCTGTGCAGATTAGGTGCTAACAGAGTCGCTTTGTCTCAACTTATAGCAGAATGACCCTGCAGTGTGTTGTGGGTGAGCTGTTTACTGGGCAGGCACAGCATGGTCAAGGCTATCTGCCCCATCTTCCAAGGAATCACTTTTCTACATAAACCTGTCATGGCCACTTGTTCTGCAGGACAGGGCTGCTGCTCACAGAACACAATTCATGAGGATTACTCAGACATGAATAAATCAAGCGAAATACCACTTTAAGCACGATTTTGATGAAGTAATAGCATTATAAAATGGTTAAAAGCTTTAAAAAGTCTATATTTTCCATGATATAGGCCCTTTTATAATATATCTCTATTCATTATAATTGCTCAGACAGCACATCTTATATATTCTTGATGGACCTGAAAAGTTGGTAATCCCCTGAGCTCAGTTTAAGCAGAGAAATGTGTGCAGACATTAGCTGACAGAAAGGCCTCTCACCGCTTTATGGATATGCCTCTTGATTAAGATGTAGAGCACAGGGAGGGTGAGGTAGGCCAGGAACTCCCAGATCTTTCCAGTCAGCAGCATCCACAGGACGCGATCCGGAGCGTGGATCCTGACCCAGCACCAGCCCACAGACACCTCTGATGCATCGTAGCCGATTTTGTTGAGACACACAGCCGTGACAGTGATGATTAGTGGAATACCCCAGCTAAAGAGAAAAAGAAAAAAAAAAAGAAAAAAAAGACGGTTTTAATATTCAGTGTTAATTCTCTAAAAAGTTTCCCCTATGTGTAGATTTCATTTGTGAATCCTTCAAGGTAAAAAGATCCTACAACACACCATGAAATTTTTTTTATTTTGCATTAAAATATAAATACGTATATTGTAAATATATATTCGAGTAAAGATGTTTTGCACGTACATTATTTAAGCAGTTTTTTAAGTTTAGTTTTTTACTTATTTGTGTTTTGTTTTGCTTGTTCTTTTAATGTCTATTCTGTTAATGTAGAAAGAGCTCCTGATTTAGTTTCCTTCATAAAACCCCAAAATGTTTTCCACCTTCTGAAAAAAGTTTACCATTTTCAACTCAAGCATGATCTCTTCTCTTGAACCAATTTATCACAAATAAACTTCACTTTATCATGAAAATAAAGGGAAGTTATTACATATAAAGAAACGCTTTAGGCCTAGCTGGGTGCCTGTGTGTGAAAACAAATTAAGACTCCCACGTATGCAGGGAGGCGTCTTTAGAAAAATCTACTTCCTCCTCATATTCTCAAAATTACACAGGCCATTAATGCTGAAAAGACTAGCACAGTGGGGGAAATGTTCATCAGAAGCTGAACTACGGCATTCTGAATAAACTCCAGTTGATAAAAGAAATATTTTCTCATCCTTTTCTGCTAGTTTGTTTACAGCTATTCATTTCCATTATAAATGATATAAACAATAATCTATACCTCTAAAGACACCCTTTTTTGATAGCTTATCAAAATAAACCGTTAAAAATAAATATTTTTGCACAGATTCCTGAGGCTAATTCCTTCTTTGAATAAAAAAGACAAACATATTACTTAAGAAAATAAAGAAATAAGTACCAGAAACATTGCTATTAATATTATATACTGTCTAGTAAAAGGTTTTTGTGTTTTTGCTTCTTCTTTTGAACTTGTAGGTCGACATTCTGCAATGAATTGTAAATAGAGGAAAATAGAGGTAGCACTAGCATGGGCTGCAGATCAGTGATGGGCTGAGGTTTTAATAAATATTTTGCAATCAGGCAAGTTGTACTTAAAAGTATAGAGGAAAATATTTTATTTCAGGGTGGATCATCTAAATAAGTGGTCCTCCTAATTGTCCATCATTCTGGTGATATGTTTACATAAGGCTGTCCTTCCTGCTCGTCCAATTAGCTATCTTTTTCTGTGCATGCGCACTTTCGGGCGTATATTTGTGTGGTGAGTTATGGTTTCAGACAGTCATTGAAGTTCACCTTTCTCACTGCGGTTCTTTGAAATTGGCCAAGGGTCGTAAGAGAAAAAGTGTGTATGAAGTGTATGCGAAGAAAAGAAAGGCCTCAGAAGAGGAAGATATATCCCGGAATGCTTTACGCAGAGAGCTCTCCTCGCAATGCATTGTGGGATTTGCTGTAACAGCGGCCGTCTGTCACCATAGGCTGTCGCTACCCGACATCGGACACTAATAACAAAGGTGCCGCGGGCACCACTCAGTGGAAGGAGTTACATGACTAAAGGGATAAGTGATCATCTGTCTGAACAGTCAGTTATTTGAGTTCTCTATAAAGTCCACTATATAGTCCCCGCTCTATATAGTGATTGAGGGATTTAGGGGTTAGGGCGGATGTTCGGGCACAGTAAGCTCGTACGAGCTATGAGAACAGAAACACCAGGAGAAATGGGCTTGTTCATGCTCTTGCGCGCGATTAATAGGCGTTCCCTCTCAGGAGCGGGTACAGGGTTCTGCATGTGCATTTTTTTTTAAATAGAGGGCAGGTTCTTTAAAAAAAAAATTGCGAAAATCCTCCACAATGCCTTTAAAGGAGATGTTGATAGGGAAACGTGATTTTAATGGGACGGTTGCAGTGGAAACAGCCGATCTGTAATGTGAGGCAAATATTTGTTTCATTTTATTTCACAATGTGCATTCTCTAAAAAAAAAAAAAAAAAAAAAAAAAAAGGCAAAAACCAAACCAAAATTTAAAGAAAAAAAAAACTTGATTTTGAACACGTCTAGAATCAATACTCCCATCATTAACAAAGAAGACAGCGCATTTATTAAGAAGAATGGATTTGCACCGTTCAGACCAAGCTTTGACAGTTTTCCTTCGCTTTTATTTTTTTTGTTTTGACTTCTAATTTTCTACACTACTTTACTTTTGTTTTGTTTTTTTTAGATAGTTTAAATTGAATTAAATATTTTTTTTTAATGCTTAGCCTCAGATTGACTTTATTAGTTTCTGGTATAGTTTTAGTCTTTTATGTAATACGATATACATACTGGGGTAAAACTAAAATAAAAAATAAAATAATCAAAATAAAACCCGAGATAAGGACAGAGTCCATACTTTTCTGTGTTCTTCTCAAGAACATACTTGATGAGGACACGAGTCACTACTGGCGTTCTTGTGAATTGCCTCTTTGCTCCTCAACATCAGTTTGAACTGAGGAAGCCTATTTGATGAGAGGCAAAATGTCTTCTAGAAAACTTCATGTCCAGTTGTCTAAAATGAACTTGTCAGCCCCCACATCTAGAACTGCCCATGAATGTGAAGGTAGCCTATTGTAGATATTAACAGAAAAATCTATTTTATCTTCATAGATTTATTTAGAAAATGTATTTACTATGCTGTGCTCCGTCGTTTCCCAGTTACTACAGTGTAGACCAAAGGTCACGGATTAGCAGACCGCAGTCCGCATCCGGACCTACCTGCTGGCTAATCCAGACCCAACCCGATTTAAAGCATTTATAAATGACTGCATGTTGTCCGAAGGCAATCTCCAATTTCACTATCTCCGCTTCTTCTGTTTCTACGGTAAAGCCCTTCAGCGCATCCGGGAGCAGGCTGCATGTGAAACAAATTAGCCAATGAGCTTTGTCAGTCTGGGTCACACCTGCTAGGTACTTTTAGATGAGAAAAAGAAAGCACAGAAAGTGTGGACTGCTGGAAGAACTGCAGTGAACTAGTGAAAGAGAAGTAAAATTCGTGCTCCAAGATGACCCTGCACATTTTGAGTATATTTGGCTCATCCTGCTGTGAAGCAGGATTCTCCACCATGAATATAATCAAAAATAAATATCGATCCAGGCTCAGAAATGAGAACCTTGATATGTGCTTGAGAATGGCGTTGTCTCCATTCAAACACAGGTTTAAAGCCTTGCAGGGGAGCATAAAGCCCACTGCTCTCATTAAAGGGAAACGCCGTTTTTTTTTTACATTGGGCCCGATTTTACGTTATTACATCATGTTCTACTCACACATATGAGTTTTGTATCATTTGGAGCCGTTCTGAAGATATTCCCTTAGGTTATATCCAGGTAACGTCTTTCTATGGGCAATGAGTTGAAGGCACAAACTAAACTGTTCATCATTTATTCTTAATGGTTCGCCAGCATTCATAACATATAGATGAATCACTGTCCCCCAGACATCCACAGTTATATTTTTTATATTTATATCATTTAAAAACAAAGCGGCATGTGTATGACGTCATCCGCGCGCCGGACTGGAGTTGTGACAGGCAGCCCGGGCCACAGGCGGCTACGCTCTACCTCTTATATATTCAGCTAGCTAATCTGAATCGTTCAATTCCATTTTGAGAGCGAGATCATCTGTGGTAGCAGCACTAGCCATTTTCCAGGCATGTGAATAAAACTAGCAGCAGTTCAGCGGACAGGATGAATGAACGGTAGCTGGCGCGCGCGGGTGATGTCATACACATGTAGAGGTGAGTATTGGCATGAGTGTTGCGATTCGATACATGTCGCGATACTTGGGTCACGATACGATATTATCACGATATGGCAGT